TAAATTAAGCTACCGTTAAAAGTTGTTTGAGTATCGTGGTGGATTTATTTTTCGTCAAGATTTAAATCAGGTAATAATGATTTATTATAACATAAAGTAAGGCATTGCAAAATGGCTGTAAAATGGCTTTTACCTCGCGATGGGATCTTGTAGTATCACAGCCTGTAACAGCTATCTAGCAGTGCCGAACAGCGCTGGTAAGTGGCTGTATTTCGATGCTAAACGCTGTCTTCAGCTACAAGGCGATTAGACAGCCCGCTGCAAAATGACTTTCACTGTAGTTTAGCTGTGTTATGGATGTAAATCGGCTGCATTTCCGCTGTGCAGACATCTTGAAGTGCAGCTGCAGCGCTTCACAGCGCTGCTCATTTCGTACGGGAGTGATCATTAACTAAAAAAATTACTTATACCTTATTTCCTTGTCTCTTTACATGCCTCGGAAGGACCCGCCAAGACACTCATCTCGGTGCTCTCTTATGTTTGTCATTTTAATGAGCTTTTTGCAGTCAATGCAACTGACTTTTGGCAGGCGTCCACAGGCTCAGTAGCCACAACATCCTTATACAAAAGGAATGAAATATTTTTTAAATAAAATTGAAGACTACTGTACTTGAAGTTTCGACGCACTTCAGCGTCACTTTCAAGAGTGAAAGTCATAAAGCAGGGGAAGTGATAATTTGAATACACAAAGTTCTGTAAATCCTCATGGGAGACCTCATACATGTTCAACTAATTGAATACCTTCACTTAAAGTGAGCCTGATTGGACACTTAAAGAAGATGTTATTTGTTTTATGAAGAGCATTTCATTAACTAGACAAGCGAACTTGGTTTTACATTGTTTGAGGACGGTGAAGTTCTTATCAAAGTTACTAATGAAATGTTATATGTAATATATATGACATGCATAAGAAATTACAAAAGGCAATATACAACCGAAAAGCACGTGGTAGGTGGGTGTGATAAACAAACACGTTGGCAGAAATTCTCACCTTATCTATCCTCTGCTTCTTCCTCAGAGGCGGACAAAACGATATCTCTCTACAAAGGCCAGAGATAGGCCTTTGCCTGTCCCAATACACTTTTAAGGTATGGGACAGAAAAACCAGTTGATTGCATAAGTAGGAGAATAAAATTTTTTGATCACCCATCACCAGTGCGCAATATCTCGTATCCACCACCCTCTTCCAAGGCAGGGAAAGCATTTAAGAGGCATTTATGGACTTGGGATGCATTTCCCTCTGCAGGAAAGGTTATCTTTTTTTCTCCAAGGCCGCTTTAAGTCAGCTTCATCCTTTCCTCTGTTGAAGCAACGCTTTCTTTTCCCGCATTTGAAAGACAAGCAAAGGCTCTCAACCAAGCTGGTTGTTTCCCTCGGTTGCTGTAAGGAACTGATCTTCTCCGATCGGTTTGTGGTTGGTTGACTTTCCTTCCCGACATCGGTGGACGAAACCCAAATATTCTGTTGTGCTCCACTCTAGCTGGAGTACTATCCGTAGCTTGTCGCATAGCACGCGGCATGTCTTTCATTTAGCTTGAAATTTTGATTTCCGTGTACTTTTTCAGGATAAAACTGCATCATCGTGACAGCTGGTAAGCAAAAATCGATGCTTGATTATTACATTTTTCGTTTTAGAAGTCCTGAGGAGGCACCAAGAACTCACTACTATGGTGGCCGAGAACTGCCACGCGAATATTATAATTCAAGTGAATATTTTTGACAATTTATTTTGTCTTTTTTTGCATGATGGTAGTTTTCTTTTCTCCTTTATTGCTTGGGTATACTTCTTCCAACGTGCATTTGACGCCATGTTTGCTTCTATCATCACAAAAGAACCCAGGACCTCTCGTCCTCGTGGCAGTCCTCAGCAAAGGATTTATTTTGGATGAATTGTTACTTACCGATCCACGTTCGAAATATACAACTGGCTGTTAAACGCCATTATTGTATTGCTCTTACTAATCTAGTGCATCTGTTTCTGTATATTTATAGGCTCTAAAGGAGAATTTATTAGAACACGAAGCAAGTACACACTCTTCAGTTGATAATTTATCTACAGGTAATAATAACCTTACTCATTATGTCCATATTTTTTTATCTAATACTAGGTGCCTGTAATCCAAGCCACAATCAACAAACTGTCTCCTCTCTTACAGGTGCACACCCTGAACCATCTGTAGCAAAACCAACTGAAGTACCTATGTTGAATGAAGTGAAAATAGCAACGTTTTCCTGTTCTTCAAATGCTTCAACCCTTTCACAACCTCCAACTCCAGCATCTCCAACAACCACTCATTCAAATGAGATATCTGTACCTACGACTCGCGCATCATCTGATCCCATAACTTTTGTTCTAACTACTCCTGAAACTACAATAGAGCCATCATCATCAAGTACACCTCTTTCCCCTAATTTACAGTGTGACAACTGTGTCACACTGAAATCAGAAAAAAATGTTAGCAAAGTAACTATTGAAAGCATTAGCTATCTTTTTGGGATCAGTGATTTCAACATCATTTTCAATAATTTTAGATACAGTCCTCTTGTTTTTATTATGTTTTGATGGAATAATTTGTGTAATACCCTTCCAAATTCTCTTTGTGTTATCACTATTTTCAAGAAAGAAGTTATTGTAGTACATTCTTTTGCTTATTTTTATCAAATGATTTAATTTATTTCTGTACAATTTAAATTTTATGTGATAGAAGGTGGATTTTGATTTTAAATATTTACAATATAATTTATTTTTGATATGAATAGATATTTTGATTCCTTGGATTATCCAGGGCTTTGAATTGAATTTTATTTCTTTCCTGGACAGTTCTCTTATTGGTACATGCCTATCAACTATTTCAGATACTCTATTGTGAAAACAACTGAAACTTTCAGATGGATCAATCTCAGGAGGGAATACTGACAGCCAATTTATTGATGAAATTTCATCGATCAATGTGGAATTGTTTAGTTGAGAATAATTTCTTTTATGAACATTTCCCCTAGATCTTTAATTCATAGGCTTGTCAAAAATAATAAAATTAGGTAAATGATCTGTGAGATCATATACTATATTACCACTTATGATATTATGTTCTATGGAATTGAAGAAAATATTGTCAATAAGTGTTGAAGAATGGCTAGTGATTCTTGTCGGTTGCAAAATTTGTGGCTGGAAGAAGTAAGAGCCAAGTGTATTAATGAAATTCTCTGAATCTACATGTAAGTCTATTTTCAGTAAATCAATGTTAAAGTCTCCCATTATTAAGCAAAGTTTATTCTCTTGGTGTATCTTTTCAACTGTGGAATTCAAGTAGTCCAAAAATTTATCAGTATTGCTGTTTGGATGTCTATATATAATTCCACACAATAGATTTGATTGATTCTTAGAGTGAATTTCAATCCAGAGAGCTTCAAACTCAGGCTCTGATAGGAATATTTCTGAACGGATGCTAAAATCTAGTCCATCTTTTATATAGAAAGCTACACCAACAGCATTTAAATGACTTAGTTGGGAAACGAATTCATATCCGTCTATGTCAGTATTAGACAGAGGATCCTTATCAAATTTTAATTTAGTTTCAGAAAGACCAATTAAAGAAAATGAGAATTTTAAATCAAAAAGCATTTGTACAAGATTATCATAATTGGCAGCCAAACTTCTTGTATTGCAATGAAGTGCAGAGAATGTTTTGTAATTTGATGAGCAACCGTTGATATCATTATCACTGTGGAAATCATGAGGGCTATAGTATCTGAAGTTTGTATCAAATGGTAAATTCATATCAATATCCAAATCTGCTAGATAAGAAAAATCTGCATTTTCAGAAGTAATGGAGAGGGTTGGTATATTATCCACTAAATCTAATAGTTCTCCAGTTCTTTCAGACAAAACTGGGCAATTAGGACAGTTCGTTAAGATAGTAGAATTAGTTTATATCAAATATAATTACTGAGATGAAACTACTTATCTTATTAATAGTCCTTTGAGTACTTCTGTATTTTTGATGTGGATAATTCTACTATCTGTATCTTTTCGCAGATATATTTTGCCGTTTGATGTCCAGAGGAATTTGAACTTGAGATTTTTCTTCGTTTTCAATGCTTCTTTCGTTGACATAAATTGTATTTGCTGCACTATAACCAAGGTCCTCAGTGCTGTAACCTTTCAGGTCTTTCCTTGATGCGTAGAATTCTTCCTTTTTATCTCTTTTCACGAATTTCACGATTATTGAGGGGTTTGCTCTAGATCCCTTGTATTTATTACTAACTGGCAACCGGTGGCTGACTGAAATGTCATCTTCTTCTAAGACTCCAATGAGTTCACCAACTTTTACCACAATGTCATTAGTAACCTCGTCTTCTGTCTGAGGAATACCATGTAGTTCTAAGCAATCTCTTCTGCCATATCGCTCGAGATCGTTGAGCTTGTCACTTAAGTTTGCTAGCTTTTGTTCGATCTGATGGATTGTCGATTTCAGGATTTTCCTTTCGTTAACGGTTTCATTTAATGTTGACTCATTATTCTTCATTGAATTTGCTGCACTTTCATATTTGCCGATCTACTTCGTCAACTTTCTGTTTGAGTTCATCTATTTGWTTTACCAGAGGATCAAGTTTTTCTTTCAAAATTTCTTCTATTTGATGACGAATCTCACAAGGCATGATGACGATAAGAAATAAATATACGAATATACGTTCATAAAGGAAGTTTGTCGTAGTTAAGTAGTAAATTAAAGTCAAATTTACATCCAAACTTCGAGAGCGCGATGAAGCACCTCCATCTTGTTCTGCGACCGCTGACCGTCCCTTGAACAAGTGGAAAAGATAACGAAGTTTATCTTTTCCTGTTGGAAATGTTTCAATCGTTCGCTGCCCTCACACGTGGAATATATTCACTATTCAAAGACAAACTTCAAATCTTTGCACCACTGTGTAAAATACAGTACCGGTATATATTTTTGTTTGCTCAAAGTAAATCTTATTGTTTACATTGTTCACAGAAATCCAGAACGTATTGACAAAGCTGGGAAAAGAAAAAGGCTGTGAAATTATAAACAAATGGAAAAAAGCATGTGTAAAACATTTTTACTGGTCAGTAACTTCAACTCCAGTAAAAACGGGAGCAGTTGTTGTAGTTTCATGCATTCCTATTCCATGTAATCAACGAACACACCAATCTACCAAATAACCTGATTAACAAGTGCAATCATGAAAAATACAACAAACCACCAGTATGGATGAACAAACGTAAGTTATTTTTGTATATGAACTGCACATCAAAATAAAAGTGTTATTTTGCACATCTAAATATGTATCTAGGTCAATAATAATTATTGCAAAATTTAAATTTTGTTTTTACAATAACTTTTTATAGGTTCAGATGCCTATGAAAAGCTATCAGAAGCTTTGGAAAAGCCAAGTTTAGTCAAAGGAATCAAGAATACCTCCCCTATGGCTCAGACCAGTGGCCTTGAAGGATTTCATTCTGTCGTTGTTACGGCTGGGACAATCTTTCGAGTTTCCCCGGGTTGGCCGTGTTAGAACAGCAAATCACTTACTGAGATTCCATCATTCAATCACTGCATTTATTAGAATCACGGAAAGACTGGGTAAAATACAATAAAGTATCTGTATTAGTTAAAACCGCTTACAAATAGAAAAAATGTGCTTGATTAGGGAATGATTATGCAACACGTGGTCTAGCGATACTTAGAAATGAATGCTCAGCCAACTATAGGAAGTTTATGCTGAATAATAATATTGATAATTTCTTGTAGGAGAACTAAACATAATGAGTTATATACCTCTGTGCTACTTGGCCGGATAGCAAATTAGTTAATATTCTAAGGAGCTTCTTTCTTAGTTTAACTTTCCTTCGACACGCTACATCAACTTATCACCCAAATCAAACTATCCGATTACGGTTATGTGATACGAGCATAATCACTGGTAAATCATTAACAGTCGTGAACCAATTTTCTCCTAAGATGCTTGCTTATTCATACTCAGGGATGCATGCCAGGTAACAAAGTCTTAGTAACCATACAATCTAATCATATAATATATTGTAGTAAATAAAAAGAAATAAAGGAAATTACGTGGACATGCGGAGATATGAAATTTATATTCAAGGGTTGAAAATATCTCTCACGAGTGAGCGCAGCATACTTTTGGCATACTATTCTGTTTATTGTATAATTATCCATACAATCAACTTAATAAGTTATTTCAAAGACACTTGGGCGTAACCACAGTGATGATATTTTCACATGTGAAAATAACATGTTATTTTTACATGTGAAAATATCAGTTTTTCGAAAAAGAGAAAGTATTTTATGGATAATTATATGATAAAATGTTATATATTATATAACCCGGTTGTGTTATGTTAGCCACCCTACAGCTATTTCAAAACCCCAATGCTTAAATTCAATTATTGTTTTAAGGACATTACTGGCAGCTCTCCACTTTAACCAAAACTTGAGAAGATAGAGCAAAATTGATAATCATGGTAATCCTAAACTCCGAATAGTCTACCCGAAGTTCAAAGATGGACAGGCCACGGTCAGAGAAGTGAAGGTGTTACCCAATTATGGTTAGAATTAAATTGCAGTGTAGTATTTTTCAAATAAAGCTGTACAACAATGTAAATATATTCAGTTACTGGTTATCATAATATATGATATTCAACATTGCTGTCATGTTATTATTCAACCTTCTTTCTTCAGATTATGTCAGCGAATTATTTGGAAAACTGATGTCCATCTCTCGACAAGAACTCAAAACTATAGAGAAAGAGCTAGATGATGATACCCCTGAACCCATGCATACTATGTTGGATAAACAAGATGAGAAAGATGCCATTCTCAAGTACAAATAGAGAAAGAACAAAGAAATCCCCATCTGTCCACCAACATGCACAGGTAAATACCTTGTTACTTGCTGTTCAAATTAAAAACTACTAGAAAAATCGCTTTTGTTGGCATGCAATTTTTAACGACATATAATTTTTGCTCTAATTTCTTCGTAGATGAAGAACTTGAACAGTTAACAAGACCAAGGAACAATACAACAAACTCTACATCTTCAAGAAAGGCTCCATGCTGCAGAAATTGTGGGCAACCTACTAAAGGCCATCCCAAGAAAAAGAATGCAATTTTCCAGTGTCCCACACTGAGTTAACCTGGAGTAATTTCAGTGTTTGTTCTTATTTTTTATGGTCAAGCTAATATTGGGGTATTAGGTAGTCCCCTGTGACTCTTTGGTTTTTATTACTAGTAATTATGGATTATTTAAAATGAAGATTTATAAAGTCAGGGCCGCAGCAACCTGTATGGTTGGTGCGGTTATAACTGGGCCGTGTTCACAACTACAACTACTTTCCCTCTTAAGGAAAATATTTATTATCCGAGAAAACTGGACCGATTTATAAGAAACCGGACCAATCAAAAGGTTGTGGCTACAGCCCTGAACGTGCAGCAAATGTATCGAGAATACATGCTAGTAGTAGTTATTATTATAAAAATATAGATATAAATATAAATAAATATTAGAATGAAAATATGACTTGCAGTTTTGTTAAAATAATAGTATGAGAAAAGGCTTCAATTGTAATATGAAAAGTACACTATTATCAAAGCAACATTTTCCAAAACAGAATAAGGCATTTATGAAAGCAAACACTGCTTAAATCATTAAATTACATTATATATTACAAGACCTAAGACATATTTCTGTTGTCTGTTTACTGTTCATGATTGTTACTTATCAGTACCTTCCTCTTCTGTACTATCTTCTTCTTCAGCAGGATCTTGTTCAAAATCCCGGTAAAGGTTGTTTTCCTCAGGAAATGTTTCCCTTATTTTGTTGTATACGCAACATGGTAAAACTTGCCTTCTAGAGTGGCCAACATATTCATAGAGAAACCTGATACTGTCTGTAGGAAACTGCTCTGAAGAATCTGCAAATATAAGTTACATGTATTCAGGACCACTACTATTCACATTTATAACGCATTCTATTGTTATTTAGTCTTCTTTTCATTCCATGTGATAAATTGATGGGAAGTCTCTTAATCTCCCCTCCTAAAAATGGAAAGATATAAGTAATAGCATTTTATTTCACTCAAATCCCCTTTTTATTAAAGCTATAAGCTTACTGTGACTCAGTTCTTCTTCCTTGATGCCGTAACGTTGTGTACATAGTATTTTTTCTTGTTCTCAGACCAATTGCTGCTACCTCCAAGACCCACGTATTTAGACAAATATCCTCAAATGCGGGATGTGAGGTAATGCAGCTAATATGGTCGTCGAGTTCTTCCATTTTCCCGCGACAACATTGGTATTCTTGCCAACGACTACACTCGTGCTTGGTAATATTGGACAGATGACATTTAGTACACTTGCACCTAAGATAAACAAAACATAAAGGGTCTAGTTATGAACGCAATTGCAAAAAAGGGGCGCAGCCGAGTGGTTTTAGACCCGATAAAACACGATCTGCGAGATTATTGAACGGCTTAGAAAACTCATGATGTTTGTTCTCATAATGTACCGATTTCTTTACGAAATGAACCAAGTTTGATAGAGAAAATCCAAGTTAAAGTTTATGCAAATGAAGACGAATCTTTGTCAGATATAAAACCACCTTCATGGTCATGATTTCTATTGTGTTTTCTTCATGAATTATTCATGAGTTTTCTAAATCGTTAACATTTGATCTATAAAACATTGGTTAAAATTCTCTCGTTATAACCTGAAAAATGAAACATGTTTCGATTGTAAATTGGACGTATGTTTCAAGAAAAATCATTCAAAAAATTATTAGCAATTAACAAGTCAAGTGTCGGTGATCAAATGTCAAAACAACAAAAATTTGAAACGTGTTCTTTCAGGTGCAATCACAGGGAGCCCTTATGAACTTTATGAACCTCGTTGATCTAAGCGGGTTAATGGATAATTCACTTTGCTTTCTATGAGTTTAATGTGTTTAGATCGGTTTCATGTTAAAATAAGCTGTAAACCAATCTCTATTCGTGGGTTGTATTGTTTCTTCAGAAATTTTATGCATCCTAGCTATTTATAATAGTAGCCACAATAGTTCATTTCAACGACTATTAAAGCTGAAAGACTTTTGCTTTAAACACGTGCGAGCTACCACAACTGAGTTGGAATGCGAATATTTTCTTCAGTCGACTTATGAACCTACCTCTTTCTTTTCTCTATCCTTTTTAAAGTCTTTTTTGGTTTTTTCATTGTCATCATCCCCAGCAAATCCTCTTGAAATTATTAGAACTAAGAGCAAAACAGTCGCAAGTATTCGAACCATGTTGACACTGACAGTTCGTAGCACTGCAAGCATGTCAACAAAGGAAGCCCAAGCATAAGATCTTTTATCATAGAATTGAAGAGATTTTTCAAAAACATGTTAAATGTATACAGATACATAACATATATACATCTTGAAAGTTGTGATACAGCTTGCATACAACCCATATTTCATTATTATCTTCCCGTTTTTTAGATGAACAAAAGAACTGTAAATCGTATTATATTTTGAAACGCAACGTTTGTCACAATAATTTTCCATGTTGAGGATTCCCCCACTCCAAACCATTCCGTATATTATTGCGCGATCATTTGCGGTCCTCTTCGGGGATCATTTGCGGTCCTGGGATCATTTGCAGTCCTGGGATCATTTGCGGGCCTGTACAATTCCCCTAAAGCTTCTTTTTGGATCCAATTTTTGTTMAGTGGTAAACTATACGATCTATTCGTTGATGTGAACCACAAAAAAGGTATGATTTTACGGTGTCATTTTCATAAGACTAGCACTTTAAGAGAGAATTCTTTTCGTATTCAAGCAGTGAGCGGCAAAAACTATTATCTTGAAGAAAGGCTATTGTACAAGGCCAAAAGGGATGGAAAACATGGATAATCCAGGGATGGAATCAGATAAGAAAATATCCATGTTAAAAGATATGTATCCATGCATCAAAAACTGATACTCACAATGCATATGCAGACTTCAAAGAGTTACAGACATGAATGTGGTATTCGATTCCTAAAACCATAATTCAGCTCAAACTGAAAGGACTTTAATGTAGTCAGCTCTAAACTATGAAACTATTCAAAAATTTCTAACAATAAAAACCCAACTTTCTCTGGGGTTATGGATCAAACTTGTCACAAAACAAAGTCAATCGTAATTCTCAAGCTAACAATGCATCTAGAACTCTTGTGGCAAACTCCTCTCTGCCCGAGGATCTATGGTGAAAACGTTCAAACGTTTCTGCCGATGCCCAATCTGTAGCTTCTAGTGTGGTCTCCAACGAGAGGCCAGCCTGTGCTGCTGAGGAAGTAGAAGCACTTCTTGTCGAGTGGGTGGTAAAACATCTATCAATACCAGCCATGCGCATAGTCATTTGTAACCATCTAGACAAGGTCTGGCTAGATATAGCCACATTCGGTTTAACATAAGAAATAAGCAGTTGCAATGATTTTCTGAGCGCCTTAGTTCTCTCTTGGTAAGCCTCCAAAGCTTTAAGGACACAAATGCTCGGGTTATCCTAGTAAGCTTGGAGATAGATCTTCCTAGGAGGATGGCACGGCCTTGAAGTTTTCACATTTGATAACAAGTGGAACTCTTACAAGGTAGACTTCTTAACTACTGCATTCAGGTCGAGCTTTACTAGTTCGTGAGTGCGTGCTGCTGAAGTCAAGGCAATAGTGTTGCCAGTTTTAAGGTTAACTGCTTAAGCGTTAGCTCTGCCAGGGGTTCCAGCGTAGCCAGGAACTCCAGTAGTGGTTTAACTCTCCATGTTAAGGATAGACGTGGGATTGGTGGTTTGGAGCGGAATATTCCTTTCATGAAGCGAGACACAACTGGAAGATTCCCCAGGGTGCACCCCTCCACGGGGTGATGGGCCTGTGATATGGCTGACTTGTAAACAGCAATCGTTCTGTACTCCAGACGCTTTTGGGAAGATACCTCCGCCAGGAAGGATAAGACCTGTGTAACAGGAGCAGAGAAGGGACAGAGTCCACAAGCAAGACACCATTGGCACCAAACTTTCCACGGTCCCTGGTAACGTCTCTGAGTTGAGTGGGACCACGAGGCTAACAAAATTTCAATGACTTTTGGTGCAATACCCTGCTGCACAGTAGGATCTCCTGATATCGGCCATACAGTTAACTTGAGCGTGTTCCGCAGTGGAGTCGCTCCTCGGGAGTAGAAAGAGATTTCCCGTTGCCATGAGACGAAGCTGTGGATACCACGGCTGACCCGGCCAATCTTGGGCTTTCAGTAGGGCTTTCTCCCTGTCCTCCCTGATCTTCTGAATAACACGTGGCAGTAGAACTACTGGAGGGTGGATGAAGCTTTTCCAACGGCTCCAGTCCAGCCGAAAGGCGTCCACTGCTGAAGCCCCTGGATCCGGGAGCAAGACACATAGTTTGGGACCTGGTTGTTGAGGCGCTATGCGAACAGATCTATTTCTGGCGTAAAAAAAACCGCTGTGTTATCTCCTTGAAGGTATTTGTGTCCAGCATCCATTCTGTGTATTCCAGCTTTTATTCTTCCAACTCCCTGGAGGCTGTATCCGCTTCTGTGTTCAAGATTCCTGACAAGTGACGAGCTGTCACTGATGAGCCTCGGTCCAGGAGGAATGACCAGAGGTCCAGTGCCAGCAGTGACAATGTTGGGGAATATGTCCCTCCTCTCTTGTTGACGTATGAGACCGCTGTAGTATTGTCCATCTCCAGGAGAATGTGTTCAGGGTCTTGAGATTTATCCCCGAAATTCCCCGATCCCCTGTCCCTTCTCTACTAGAGAAAGAGTGGACACAAATTGCTGTGCCTGTGGAGCAACCTCTCGGATAGCTCCCTTGTTCAAGAGAGTTCGAATTGTTTCCTCCAAAAGTTGATGCTGCCGCTTGCGCGCAATTGTCTCTCGTGCGCGCCACTGACGTGGCTGCCTGACAAAGGGTATCTTGTAGCCTGATATTGTTTGTATCGTAAATTTGTCCTTTGTTAACTTTTTCCAATTCAACGTAAACATTCCCAGGTGGCTTGCACTCTGGCTGTCTGGTAAAACGATCGACAAAGGCAACTTTGGTAGATAGTCAATTGTTGTTATCTTGTCTCGTATTGAGCCAGGCTTACCGCGCTTGGCGTCTGAGCCTCCTCATCTGTCATTAGATGGCAACCATTTCCTTTTCTTGTCGTAGGAGCCTCTCATACCACGGTACTGATAGGTGGAGCCACGAAAGGGCTTGGACTGCGAGCGTGTCTCCCTTGGGTTACTGATCAACTTCATGTTTGAAGCTTTGTGATCATGTTCGCTGCGAATCCTCTCGTGGAATTTGTGTGGGAAAAGATGCTTGTCTGTTGGGATCCCCTCACGGATTGTCCTCTTGCCAATCTCTGTGAGGTATTCAGCAAAACGGCGCTGTCGCCATGCGTTAAGTCTGGCAGAGCAGTGAGACTAGAGCATCCTCCAGGAGGACTTAAATTGTATCGGGGTCTACTCCCACGTCGTCTTCTTCCATTGACATGTCAAGAGCATTCA